TCTTAGTAGTTCAGACTAAGGGATAAAATCCCTAGGGAGGCGGTTGCCACGGCGGTTGCCACTGTTACTGATGGGTTAGCCGAGTTATCTAAGTACCTAGGTAGGTATCTACATAAAAGAACAAAGGGACCATCGTGGTTACATATGTACTTACCTTAGCTGATCCTCCAATGCCTTAGCAACATCCTGCTCCAAGTCGGCAAGGGCGTGTTCCTACATAGGTGGTTAGCGGACTTCTATTAGAAAGGTGAGCGGATAGCTTACGAGGTAAGGTGCCATATAGGCACGGAACGCTGTGACTTCTTCTGGATGGTGGCCATAACCAGGGGACTGGTTCTGTTCCATGACCCTAGTTAGTAATTGTATTGTATCAAGACTTGCATTGCTTACCTGAAGCTGGGTGGAGGTGGGAAAGATGCCGAATTGCTCGGCGAAGAGTATACGCCTAATCAGGCCGTTCATGCGGGTGATTATGGCCTGGAGCTGAATGATATCTTGGCGCCTTGTAGCGTTCCCTTGCTCAAGGGGAAGCGTCTGACCAACTCCATAGGCGAAGATCCGGAGCTTAAGTGCCGCGACAACGTTGACACTGAGGTCGTAGAGGCGACCTGCATTCTTTAAGAACTTCGCATAAACACTGCGGAGCTCTTCTAGAGAGAGGACGGTATAGCCCATTTTGCCGTCTCCGAGAAGTTTGGCCGAGTGGGCTATGTCGCGTTGGGATTCAGGCTTAACTATGGCGTTGGTGTATAGAAGCGCTCCCGCGTTGACGAGAATAAAGCCTTCCGGAATAATGATGGGGATGGGCTTGTTGTGGCCCCATGCCGGGAACCACCACGGGGCGGCAGGATTTAGCACGTTCTTGGGGTGACTCCGGGAATCCATAGTTTCTAGTAAGTAGGGAGGTGTCTGTGGTTGCGTACGTAGTAGTGATGTGAGTGCGTATGGTCCAGTAGTAAACAGGATGGGCGTTTTTTGCTAGAAATTTGAAGATGAAGCACAATTGTTGATGTCTGGTATCTAGCGAATCAGGATATCGAGAGCAACCCAATAAACAGATGGGAAGGGACTGAATCATTTGGGCCCATAGTTAGGTGCGTGTAGTTTCTTGAACCACATGAAGAAAGAATACCAGTTACCTGGGGATTGTGGATGCGGCAGCACCACGCTTGCTACTTAGGAAGTTGCAGAAAGATGCTATGAATTCAAGCTAATTCCTATCTATGTACATAAACAGACTCCTCCACATTCCCTCGTTGCAATTTAGATCTGCATTCTAGCAATGATGCGGAGCGTCATCCCAAGTCCCAGCTACAGGCGGGTTTAGGGCAAGGTATTACTCAAGCGCTACTCCTATAGTATGTAGGTTAATGGCCTAATAAGTGTATCACATACCCCAATTCGATACACGTATGATATTAGGCTTGCTTTGAGGTGTCTAGATGGCATTATGGTATTTATCTCTGCATAGCTCAACAGTATTTCCCTATTGAATCCCCTACGACCGCTAAGTGCATCCATGAATCAGCTAAGATAGAATAATACATTGCACCAGGAGTGCCATGCCCCTTACATAACCTTGCTCAACTTGAACCATCCACTGAATAGCCAAAAATAACAAATTGGAGTAGCAGGCCTATATCAGACTCGAATTGCGGCTCCTAATAGCTGAATACTTGGCCCCCATTGGCACAAACCAAGCTTCCCGTACACCAACCGGCATCCGGGCTACACAGTGTAGCAACCACACCAGCTATCTCCGATTCATAAGCAGGGCGACCGCCAACCTGCTTTTCCACTTCCCGCATCGCGAAGGAATCACTCGGACGCACCGAAGCTAGTGGCGTGATCCGGTTCAGTTGGGCGCCCCAGGACAGGTTTTGCTCGCCCTGTGATAAATACAAGTCATTCATCACAGGGCCGGGATTGACTGTATTAACAGTAGCACGCTCTGCCAGTTCGCGGCACCAAACACGAGCCATTGCTTCCAATGCACCTTTGGTACCGGCGTACAGCCCCATATACGGATTCCCGACCTTAGCCGCGATGCTGGATACCATGACGATGCGTCCCGATCGATCAGTAGGCAGATGCGGCAGGCAAGCTGCGGTCAGGAGAGTAGGTCCAAGCACATTAACGGCATAGAGGTGCTGGAATTCCGATTCCAATACACTCTCGAGGGGACCAGCACGGAAGATACCTGCGTTATGCACTAGAATGTCGATCTGCAAACCACCCGTCTCGCGATTCGTGAAGTTAGCTCTGGCTGCCTCCACGATCTTAGTGCAGTCTTCTCTCTTGCTAACGTCGCCCCTAACCCAGACAGCTTTCACGCTGTAGGCAGCCTCTATCTCCTTGCAGAGCTCTGAAGCTAGCTTATCTGATCCTTCCGTGGCGTGGTTCACGATGACGTTGCATCCTTTACTGGCAAGATTGCGTGCAGTCGCCGCACCGATACCTATACACGTCAGACTTGAAGAACCACACCGAGGGGAGAACGGACTTACTCCGAGCCGAACCAGTTACAATTGCCAGCTTGCCTTCGTGAACCCGTCGGCCACTGGGTAGAGGTGTTTGCACTGATCCCATCTTGAAGGAGTGAATCAGTTATGCTTGCTCTATATGGCTCGTTACGATATTTTGCGTGGATCAGGCAGTCTTGGGCCACGAATTGAAGAGTACGGACTTGCTTCTTAGCGGGAAACTTGCTCATAGTATATCAACTCCCTTATATAGTACCTAGGTTAAGAAATTTTTATGACCATAAGGGTTCCGCGTGTCAATCATGTGCCCGGACTCTAACATATGGTTGCAATGGGTAATCAATGACATGTCTTATACCGGCTTTTCACTGATTGGCGTACACGTCGTCGTTGGTGTTCCCCCATGCCGCTAGCAATAATACCCACTAGTACTACCGTTACTACGTACAGTGCGAGCATCTTATCATAGCTGAAAAGGTACCACCTCTGGCTCCCTATCTCTGGTCTGTGTTGGTCCGAAGAGACTTCAGCCGTCCCAACCCGGTGGCACCCAATCAAGTAGTTAGAAAGCCCCCATCAATAGGCACACAAGTTCCCGTTACGAAAGAGGATGCATCGGAAGATAGCCATAGAGATCCCTGTGCGACCTCATGAGGCATGCCGAACCGCTTCAGTGGAATCGTAGCAGAGGTAAACTCTTCTTCTGTCGTTCCCATAGATGCCAAGGACAACGCAGCCATTTCGGTCTTTAACGATGTATTAGTATTTCCTGTCAAGCACAGAGGCAATTGTACTGACATAGATTCCGCAAGGAGCAATGGCGTTAACCCTGATGCCATGCGGACCGCCTTCTATCGCTGCGTCCTTGGTAAGCCCGACTAGAGCATGCTTAGAACAGGTGTAAGCCGGCATGTTAGCCAGAGCCTTAAAACCACTGATGGATGTGATATTGACGATCGTGCCCTTGCCACCCTGCTTGATCATCTGCCGCATCTCGTACTTGCAGCATAGTGCGGTACCCGTTAGATTAATACTGGTGAGCTTGTTCCAGTAGTCCTCATCGAAATCAACTAGTGGTGTCTTATCCGGGGTCAGAGCCGCGTTGTTGACCGCTGCATCAAGCTTGCCGAACTGCGCTACGGTCTTCGCAACGAGGTTCTGCACGTCAGCGGACTTGGAGATATCTGCCCTCACGAAGATAACATCGCCGAATGGGGCGAGTTCTGCAGCGGCTTCCTGCCCTTCCTTTTCCTTGATGTCGCACATGGCGACTTTAGCCCCGGCTTTAAGAAATACCTCAACTGTGGCTTTCCCCATCCCTTGAGCTGCACCGGTAACTATCGCAACTTTCCCCTTTAGGACGGGGTAGATTTCAGCTGGTTCAACATTCGGCATAGTGGATTAGTGCAATGACGACAGCCACGACGATTGTTTTGGACTAGTAACTTATAGTGGCTGGCTGTATAGGAGCAAATACTTAGAACGAGGTGATCCGACAAAACAAAAGCAACTTGAGATTGATAAAGTTGATGGAAACTTTGGTTCTTTCGTAGTCCCAAGGTTTCTAGTGCAACACTCTCCTCACGCTGACCGGTCTCCAACACCAACGTCACCCCCCAATAGCAGTTTCACAAGAGCCAATAACCATTCTTCTATAGTTCAGGGGTTAGTATCCGTTAGCCGGGTCGATGGAACGCTGCGTCTTGGAGTATGGTTCGCAAAAGCAAAAAGGTGACCCATTAAGACTTAGTTATCTCACAGTGTCAATAGTTCTGTCGTTTTGAAGATACCTTGTGATAAACATCTCCGCCGAGTCGCCGACCGGGACGGCCCGTGTGCCCATGTAGCGCGGGCCGAGAGAGGTAATGGCAGGCTATAGTCCCAACGTCCCCTACGCATTTAGATACCCACCAAAGACGGAATTCCCCGTACCCACGTGTTACGTAAAGCGAACCCCGTTCTTTAGGATGCGCCCTGTATCACCACCCAACATCGGTGCCGGAACTGCCGGAACTGCAATTACCAACAAACACCGACCAGATGAACAGAGAACTTCTCCGCCTGACAACTTACCCCATCTCTCCACAATCCCCCACAATTCTCCACGGACCTTTAGGTTCACAGTGGCCTCGCATAATGTAGATGATGATGATGGTGATGATGATATTAACGTCTGGGGCGTCAGAATATCTACAGTACAAAGTCCTCCTCCCTGAGCCATCGCGTATCTAAGACGCATGAGACGTTTAGAGTAGCCTCTTCGAGGAGGCTAGAGCTAGAGTTTCGCTTGACATATGAGATCTTCCTTTCCTGCCGTTGCATACCCCCCTACCTGCCTATAGCCCTGGCCGGGCTATAGGCCTCCCCAGCCTGACCTATAGCCTCCTTGGGCTACAGCATTACACTAGCCGCCGGGCTAGCCGGGCTACCTCGTCTATTCATTAGGGGAAAAACCCTACCCACATGCCGATATCGGCGGGATGAAAAACCCTGAATAGGTGGGCCCTAGGGATAGTTAAACCACAGCAGGATTCGAACCTACATACAGCTGCTTGCCCTAAAAGCAGTGTGAAGCCAGGCGCTTAACCACTGCGCCATGTGGGCTCGCATAATGTAGAACCGAGTCCGAATGGCAACTCAGCCATACAGAAGCCACAAAACCAGAGCTCGGATAATGCCTCTAATTCCGACCTGCGGACCATCCCACCCACGGCTCCCTAAACGTATAATAATAACTATACATGAACACGCAATCGACAGCGGGTTCCAGAATACTAGTATATGGATAACATTCTCTACGAAGTCACAGATGGCTACGAGCTGAAGCTTTCGAGGTTTTCAGGTATCATGGACTTTAGGGTTAAGGATTTACTCATGTCTTAAATGATCAACTAAACAATATACATAAATATCTATTGTATGGTGATGAAAACATTCTGCGTTTTACAAAACAGCAACTGCTTTCCTTACCAAACTAGAAACTAACAAACATAATTCCCACTACGGAATTCGCTTGAAGGCCCTTTCGTACTACCGTCCGGACTGAGGTCGTGTGCACGTGCTTGATACTACTGTCAGTACCTAGTAATATCGACTGCCTCACGTGAAAGCTGAGAGATACAAATCAAACATATCATACTCTTCAGAGTAGATAACACCGGCAACTGGGAGCCTTCCGTCTTGGTCGCTTCCAAACCAATCAAACCATTCAGTGATCACCGACATGACGCGATGGACGGATTGTAAGCCACTAATAACGAAAAATGCTGGCATGGTGCCAATATGGTATATAGACTATATTTTTCTATAGAAATCAAATCCTTCATGCGCTCTTATATAACTGGTAAGCATTTTAGCTATATGCAAACATCGTGACTGTTCATAACGAGCGAGGCTGTTGGATTTCAATGCTTTGAAATTATAAAGCTGTTGAGCGTTCTGTAAGTATATAAATATGGCACGAAAATCCGAATCACCAAGCGAGAATCTAATACTTTCCATAATAGACTCGCCTTTGATAAGAACCCACGGGGGGTAACATCATACGAAAGCTCTCACTCTCTACGACAAAGCCTGAAATCCGACACCACCACCAGACTTTCCCTCGCCTCGTACCAAGATCTTCAATCCGACGATAACGAGTAATAATGGGCAAGTGTTGCTGCGCTTGTGGCTGTGAAGCGGAAGCTCCTCAGGGAAAGTCGTACTGCGAGCCTTGCCGACGAGGCGATTGCGTCAGTGATAATTCAGCGAGGGCGACATATCCTCAGATACGTCAAGCGAAACAGCCGGGTCTTGACGTAAAGACGGATTCATTCGAACGAAGATAACATATCATCGGAATTCCAAGAGCTGGTTCCATCACCAGTTTCCCAGTATAATATTGTAGTATACTGTTCGTACCTCTAAGCGAGAATAAATACGATAAAATGTTTTCTTAAATTACCCCTTAATCAGCACTTAATGCTGAACTTAACCGTCTGTGGATGGTCCACCTTAGTGATTCGTAATTGACTCTCTTAACATTATATGCTGATAACATTGAGCTGACGACCACATGCTGATATTTGACGTCTTGAATGCAGCGATTTCCGATATGATGTATTTCTACGAAGCGAACACATGGCAGCATTGTTTCGTATGAAGGCCCTGTGAGACGTGTCACTAAATGAGTTATGAACAATCATATTGTTTCCAACGAGCTCCAACCTATATGAACCGTGTAGCCCTTTGTCTTCCCACAATATCCATTCTGATATAAAAGGGGTAAGCACGGTTGTTTAGGGAATAAGAATTAAATGGCCGGTCTTTTCCCCTTGGGAATTTGGAGCCCGAGGTCAAGCTCTTGAGTCATATGACTGTGTTCGGCTACCCGTATGATAGGGGGTAGTGGTACAATCGAGTCAGCCTCATTAGTGATCACAAGAAGACTGCAATTACTTGCTGGCGACGCATAATGGTCTTGATCTCCCTTTCAATTAGTATATGCCTCTCACAGGTCGTCTGCCACACGAGGCAACCCGTCTAGCCTATAGAGTGATTACACTATTGCGCGAAGAGTAGCATCCCCCTTTATAGGATCTAGGGATAAGGCGGCCAAGTATCTCCCCCGAGAGAAAGACTAATCTTTTGACGATCCTATTTCTATTCAAGTTCACCCAGTGGGTATTTACTATGCCAAGGACTCGTGTATTCGCACTCGTAGTCTGTAATGCTCTAGCACAAGTATATAATTCCAATGATCGTTTCAAACCCGCCCTATCTCTAGGCCATACTTCTTTATAGGATATGACGGAACTGATGCAAACCCGGCCAAGCTTAATCTCATGTTCTCACCCCCAGGGCGGGTTTCTACAAGGGGGGATCTATGCCTACGTCACAGGGATCCGACAAACCCAGTGAAAATCAGTCCTTGGTCTCGGAATTCTGTTCGGCGGAAAACCGCCACAGGCTTCGAACCTACTCTCTTATAGAGTTGCGCAATGAATAGAATAGTTGAGTTGGCGTTCTTGGAATGGGCAGCATCCCATACCGTTCAAACCAGCCGCTGATCGGATTCAATCGCATAAAGGGCTGAATGGCCTGATATATATTGCAGTAGCCCTGGCATCTCGTTTTCCATTCCCGTCGGGAGACTTAGGTAGAGACCGAGGCTATGTGGCTGTATGGCTGTTGGCTGTCGCTCCGTGTGTATGAAAGGGGTAGTCCTCCTTTATTTAGTCTTAGAAAGTTAAAGGCGCGAATAGTTACTTGCTCTAGACCTCCCAGAGAATCACTAGTGGCAAGCCGCCAGGTAGCGTTTATTACGTCGTTTTCCTGGCCGCCACCTATTGCTATTCATTGCGCCCTGGGACTTGGCCCTCATGTCTTTGAAGCAGGTACAACACTTCAGGAGTCAAAGCTAGAAGAAATAAGACTCTTCAAACTCATTTACCCTTCTTATAGAGATAAATCTTTCTTTGCCAATGCAGCTTCAGATTTATGTCAAGACCACCCCCTATTGAATGTGCTTCCAACACCCGGAGCTTAGAATCTTAGCCTTCTGCCGCTTTGTGAACTCTTCCCATCTATACCTACACATAAAGGAGCAGGGAGGAAAATATAGTATCAATCTTTCTTTCATCTGACATCCTATCTTCTTACGGATAATGGTCCAGTTTAGAGAATTCCATGCTGCTATTGTTGAGACGCACGTTATCATTAGCCCAACATAGGGTTTCAATTCCTATTCCTTGTCAGGTTCTGATTTGCCCTATAGCTTGGCTGTTCTCTGGTAGAAAGCCCAACTTTGGTATGCATGTCATTAACAGTTGGCAACTATGACGCGCATCGTATGCGCGGGTTTATGTCGTACGATTCCAGCGCGCTTATTAGAAGGGATTTACCGTCTGCTTACAGTGTACCTATGCATCGTTGACATCCTGCATATGCGCATGGTATCGGGTGCCATCACGCATGCATTAATGACATAATACCGAATCATGCCTCAACTCCTAATGGCATATAGGAGTGCCCTTAGAGCACATGTAAATCTGTAGATGTGCTATTGATTACAGATACTTACTCGTAGGATTTGAGCTCATCTAATTGGGATGCCGACCGGAAGATGACGAACTAGATGGGGGTTCAAAGCGTTGTCGCTCCTTATCAAAACCTTTTCTTCCTAGAATGAAACATCGTCAGCTGCGAGAAGCGTACACTTACAGCAAGACGCATAGTTAGTAACCAATCAAAGGTGAATACGATCTCATATAATACTTTAGTCAGCGTGTCTATCGGTGTCGCTTATAGTCCCTCCCAAATTATGTGAAAGAATGGTTTCGGCGTGGGGGGAGTTGATGTACATATGTAGGTAGGGACCTGGGTGGTACTGTACATGTACAGTATTACATGTACATTGATGTATGTCGTCTCGTCGCCGATAAGATAACTTTAATGTGATAATACTAGGTATTTTGTACTATAGTACAAGGTATTAAAGGGCTTACTCCGATGGTTCTCATGCAGAAAGTTCCCCCGTTGACGGATGTGGCTTATTATATGCACTGAATCAACGTAACATACCGCGTACCGCCGGCACCATTACTTAGAAGTCGTTGTTAGGATTCACCGTCGATTTTCCTCGCATGCGTCGCGGATGGCTGCATTATACAGTTTGGAATATTGATGGCCAAAATAGGGAGACTAGACCTGTAGGGCTGAGTGGCTTAGGCTTGGCTTTATCGGTAAGATTTCCAAGGCAACTGTGAAATCGCTGGAAATCCATCAAGACTCAAGAGTATGCACATGAGCGGCGGCTTGATTGTTAGATACGGTTACATGCCGCGAGGTTACCATACTGCTTTGGTCGTAGATCATGTGCACTTCGCAGCCCAGATCCGAATTTCACTGAGATCTTCCAATGGTCAACGATTGTCGTATACTCTGTTCAGGCGATTTTAACCTAGACAGCCTAGGTAGACTACCTATCTTCAAAGCTGCGTTTATTTATGCCTAAAGCGACAGGAGGTAAGTCACCTTATCTTAAAGCCGAAATCATCGTTTTCCATGCAAGGGCAAGATACTGTATGTCGGATGAAATGAATGATTCCATCCTAGGGTACGACAGGGGCCTAATGCACTGCTGACTACTATGTTTCTGCCAGCATAACGACAATATGCAAATCTCGCCTTGCGCAGCCGTAGAAGGATTAGTCTGGTCTTGCCCGGAGAAATAGCCAAAACGGAAACGACTAGCGCACTGTATAACTCCTGAGTCGTTATACTATTGCCCAATGTTACGAACATTCTAAACATTAGAACCACCTTCCTTAATAGATAATCGTCATATCTCTCTAGATTCATTCATTCAATGGCCAACCGCTCCTCGTATAGCGCGCTACCCCCCAGAGGTCGCTAGGCAGCTATACTCTAACCACGATTCTTGTCACTGGGCTAAGATCATTTGCCGAAAAAGCAATCTTCGCTTGATTTGCTAAATGCCTCAAGTTCCCTCTGTCTAAAGCCCAAGTAACCGGCTTGGACGGCATAAATGAAGTGGGAGCCAGCGATTATAGATGCGTAAGAATGGGAACACCCTCCATCAGACCAAGAGCGGCAATCTT